TCAATGGCATGCAGTATATTGATCTCCATCCCCTGCACTGCATCTTGAATCCAGTCAAGATATCCTCTGTCACTGAACCATATATCCAACCAATCTGAAAAGGCCAAACAAAAACAAAAATAAGTTAAACCAAAAGATCAATCAGAAAGTAGGCTTGAGACTTCAGGAAAAAAAAAGTCTTGAAAAGAGCAAGAGTCAATTTTTACTTCTTTTCCCCATGCTGTCTTCTCCTCATAACCACAGCCGATAACATGAATTGCTTCTCTAATCAGTATCGATGGATTGACAGAATCAGGTACTCCTCCATTTTCCATCAACGTAGACTCGATAAACACGGATGACATGCCAAAAGTTTTCTCAAAACTCATCTGAGAGATAAGTAAGGACCTCTCATGCTCGTCATAATCTGCAGACACAAAAATGATAGCAGCTTAATTGCAAGGATAATGGTGCTAAATAAAGGGAATGTTGTTGTACTGGAAAACTCACTTTCAATTTCTCTTAGGTTGAAGATTGCAGAATTTAGATCTTCTCTTTTTGCATCACGATGTACCTCAGTGAGATCCTTCTCTTTGGCTGGTTTCTTGCGGCGACAGCAACAAGAGCAAGATGAAGAAGATTTGGGTAATGTAGGCAGATTAGAAGGGCTATAACCGTAAAGTGCTTGCCTATTGAAACAACATCCTGTACCGACATATACAGGTCCTTGGATTCCATCCAAACCTTTCATGTTAACCTGAAATCATGAAAAAATAGCAATTAAGAGTATGATGTTGAATGAAGAAAGATTATTTTTTTTATTTTTAAATAGATGAAGAAATTCATTTGAGAAATGCTAACTTTAGGTGGTCAAGATACTTACATCAAAGAAGACTATGTTTCTGTTAGCATATCTGTCACTTTTATCAATCCCATCAAATCTCTGGGGGAACTGCACATAACAGACATCTCTGCCGACTTGTGGATCCATTAGGAAACACATAGCCTCACGAATGGCTTTGCTGTTATTGACGTAGTGATCACAGTCAAGATTGAGAATGTAGGGTGCATTTGTGAGAACTGCAGACACCCTTATCTGATAAATAAAAAACAAGTAAGTTTGTGAAAGGAAGTAAACAAAAATCGTCTGAGATCAATGCTAATGAATTGCTTTTTGAACACACCAGAGCATTTTCAGCACCAGCTTTTTTGTGGTGCTGATAACCGGGTCTTTTCTCTCTTGAGACATAAACGAGTCGTGGAAGTTCATTTCCTTCAATGTCATGTGCACCACTATGTCCCAAGAAAACCTGTATAAGAAGAAAAATTATGGAGTAACTGAACATCGCAAATACTAAAACTTCAAGAAGCAAAAACTGTGACCTCAAAAATATGGAGTATGAACTAAAATGATCTGAAAGCAGCAAGTGCAAGGATTGTTGCAAAATCTTCATTGTGATTTTATTGAAACTGAGATAGGTTAATAAGTAACAAGTAACCTGAATCATTCCAGGATGATCACGCGGGTTGTTTCCTGGCCAAGGAGTTCCATCCGCCATGGTCCAGCCATCCTCTGGTGTTTTCTGAGCCTTGGCAACTAAAGCATTTACCCTCACTTTATACTCTTCATATTCTCTCTGCAAATACCAAATAAAAGACCAATAATGTAACCCAATTCTTGAACCATATAGTATATGTTTATCTCATACTATTTCAAAAACTAGGCTCTTACCTTCATTGCTCTACGCTCCTTGACAAAAGAAGGCTGCACCTTGTCTTTCAAGTAATCAAACTTTTGCGAGAAGTAGAACTCAGGTGCACGTGGTTCAATTGAAAATTTCTTGCAGAATGGTACCCATTTCCTTGCAAATTCAGAAGTCTCAGCTAGTGACTCAAATGTAAGCATTGAGCCACCATCATCAGATACATAGCAGGAAACTTTCTCGACAGGATAGTCAACCGCAAGGATTGAGAGAACAGTGTTGGCAGTAATCAAAGGAGGTTCTTTCATAGGATCAACTGTACTGACAAAGAAATCTACTGGTGCAAGCTGACAAGGTTCTCCCTCCCTTTCAAACCTACAAAAGATTCAAGAAAAATTAACAAGATTACACTTTTTATCAAGTTGTAAGAAAGTAATGAACATTTTTGAAGAAGATTCCTAACCTTGCAGATAGCCTGTCAATATATGTCTCTCGGTTGATAGGAGACCATTTAGGGAACTGATCCAACACCCAAGAGAAAGCAAACCAGATCTCACAAATAACAGAAACAAGCCACAGGGGATAGGCACTTTCAACTGGATGTGTTACTCTATAGTGGAAGAAAAGACACAGAACTATAAATCGGATGATAATCACGATTCTGTATGGAGCAATTTGAGATTTCGGCACAGGAATGATTCTTGAAAGTGGCTCTGCAGCATCTGCTAACCTACACAAGTTATATTACACGCAATCAATAGATGCATGATGGAAATAGAGCAAGTTCATAATTCGAAGTCACTGAAGGTGGATTAAACACCATTGCTTATAACTGGAAGAGTCCTTTTATTTCTTGTTAGTTATTTAGATATCTAGACAAAAGAAATCAACCCCATTTCAAGAAAACTATGGAATTATACAAAAAGTGCAAGACTATCTTTTGCAAAAGCCTACTTACTGTGGCTTTTCTTCCATCTGCTGCTCAGGTGGAACTTCAGCTTCTTGTACAACAGTCTTACTTTGGGTCTTCTTTTTCTTGTTTTTCTTTTCCTTCCAACTTTCTACTCTATTCTTCCATATTGGATTCCCAGAATCATCATGATATTCTTCATGAGGAAATAGCAAGTAAGTTGATAATGTTCTTCATTGAACTACACTACAAAGAGCTATTATGAATCTTGTACAGCAAAGGTTCATATACTTACCACTGTCCACAGTTGAAACAGTGCTGACATTTCTAGCATGAACTCCAACATCCTACATTGAAAACAATAATCACAGAATATTGTCAGCAGCTAAACTTCGATTTCATGTCTCAAGGACTAAACATAGAAAGAAACATGTGAAGTTTCACCAGATATAATTAGTACCTGAGCAGTATTAAGATGAGAAGCCGTTGTAGCATGGTTAGTAGAAGATTCATGCTCATTTTCTCCATCAGCCATAGTCAAGCCCTCTGCACAATTTAACCATGCATAATAAGCATAGAACTATGTTACAATTTCTTTGTACTTCTTTTACCGAATTATCACATGGGATCATTAATCAGATAAATTTAAGTCTTAAATAAAGCCAAATTGTCAAGAAAACTAGATTAATTTAAGTACCATCATAAGGAGTTGCACAGCGTAAACAAGCATTGCGCCCTTCTTTGATCTCATAATGCAAGCAAGACTTACAAACAGGATAATTGCACTCATGACAAGCCACAAAGACTTCACCATTAGTATTTTCTAACCCCACTTGTTCGCCGCAAATGTTACATATCGGAACCCCTGACTCCATCATTTTTCCACTCACAAACTCACTGTTCAATCTTTGCCACAGCTAGCACANGCCCTTCTTTGATCTCATAATGCAAACAAGACTTACAAACAGGATAATTGCACTCATGACAAGCCACAAAGACTTCACCATTGGAATTAGCTAACCCCACTTGTTCGCCACAAATGTTACATATCGGAACCCCTGACTCCATCATTTTTCCACTCACAAACACACTATTCAATCTTTGCCACAGCTAGCACCCAAGGTGATGCTTTGTTCTTTGTTACTTGCAAGAATATAAAGAAGGAATGTTCACTTAACGTACAAAAGCTAAGGAATGAGAAACATTATTGTAATGGTGAAGGAACGTTTGGAGGGTGGTTATGGCCAGCTTGTAGGTTGAGAAGTTGGTGTCAAAGGTATATTTTCAGAGAAGAAAGCAAAGCAAAATGTTGACAGAGATTTTTCAAATATTTGCGGGAGTTGGAAGGAATGAATATGGTTGGAGCTTGTACATCTTAACCAACTAATTGTACCAAACTTTGAGTCAGACTGCAGCTTCAACCCTGAGCCACCCCCCACACACCTCCTTTGACAGAAGTCAAGCCACATGCCTCTCTTTTCTTTTTCTTTTTTCTTTAGATCTAAGTTATGGACTACTATATACTAACATTATAAAAAAAATTACCGCATAAAAAAGATTAACATTACCGTTAATATGTGATAATAGGTTAGTTATCATTTTTATTTAGTTACCAATTAATGCTTATCAAAAAAATATTATTCGTAATTAAGTGATCTAATTGTATAAAAATATATAACATTCGTGCATAAAATTTAAACTCTTCATTTTTATCAAAGATTTTTTTTCTTACCATCTATAGATTTACTGTCAAAATCAAGGAAGAATAAAAGCTCTAACATCAAACAATGTGATTCGTACCGAATATCTTTTTCTTTTCACCTATCTGTTTTCTACTCTCTATCTAAGGACAAATATTTTCGTGTAGATATACAAATATAAAATACAAGTACTGCGAATTAAAATACAAATATTTTTTAGGTCACTCCATCATATAATCCCCCTTCATCCAGTCTGCCCGGAATTATAACTAGGATCAATTTATTCATGTTTTTATGTTCTAATTAAAGATTGTCTATTTTTATATCTCAACGAATCAGATTATTCTCTTCACCAATATATGCAAAATGCAATCTCAATAAGAACATAATCTCTCTGACTCGACTGTCCTAAATCATCCAGTTCAAATTAACAAGATTAAAAATTAACATAAAAAATATTTGGAAACTCGTGATAATCAGGCGTGAATTCATGTTAACTTTATATGATGTAAAATAGATGTTAAGAAGTACGAAAATTGAAAAAGAATACTTATCTTTACGCTCTATACACACCAGATAGTTCAATATAAATGTATTGGACAAATCAATGACATAATGTACCAAGAACAGGCTCACAATTAGGTATGTTAGTATTGTAACTGCAACCAATAGGTATACCTCACAGTTGCACGCACGCTCAAGCATACATGCAGTAGATATCTTCAGAGTGTTTTTATTATATAGTGCTGCTTACAAATTAAGAGAATAATATACAAACAAAAGTGCGTCGAAGTAACTATCTAATTAAGTAATGTCAATTCTCAATATCAAAGTCTCAGGACCCATTCCCCTACCACAATGAAAAAAAGAAGAGAGGAAATGTAGAGACAACCTCAGACTCTGGATGTCCAAGACATCTTTTTGCAATGGAGAGACAACCTCAGATTCTTGATATTTAATACATCTTTTTGCAATTACATTGGAAATTCAAACATTTATTCTTCAGATGCAAAAGCATATGCCAATACCATTGCTTTAGAACCTAGTTATTTAGGTCAAAACCTTGTAGGATAGAACCTTGATTGGCGAAGCCATGAACGTCCAATTAGCGTGCAAGAGAAAAAGCCATATTTGGTGTATAGGGAGCATAACATTCTCCGAGGGTCACATCATGTACAAGTAAAGTGTCTCGGCTCAATCTGTGTTGCTTCACCCGATGGTGTAAACCTTCACTACCTTGGATGTATCACAGACGACTAGGTTCTCTGAATCAGTAGGAGTTGTGCAAAGCCAGTTCACCTGATTAGTTAAAGAGTCAATCATGAGATAAATATACAAAACAATCGAAGCATAAAGTGGGAGAGAGAAATCATAAAAAGCAATGAAGCAAGACTCACTTTTCTGCTCAAACTTAAGCTAGAGCGAAGGAAATCGCAGCCTGTGCTTGTCTCACCAGTGATGAGAAACTTAGAGCAATCCCATACTTTTACTTGTTTGTCATTGCCACCTGAAATTATGAACTTCCCTTTGTCTCCAAATGTTGAAAAAGTCCTAATAAAATTTCGGCAGAGTTAGTGCTGGCAGGCGCGGTAGATTTGAGCATGCTATGCTATAACGAAAACTTACACACAAGATACAGCAGCAGTGTGTCCTCCCAAAGCGTGATCAAGGTGCAGGTCTCCTCCATTTTGATTTCCATTTTCAGGATCAGCAGAAGAACTGCCAACTTTTGGGGCTGATTTAGAACCTTTCTTGGGTTTAGCTGAACTTTTGGACTTGACAGCATTGGGTTCTGACTCAACCTTTATTACAGAAACAACTCCATCACCCCTAGCCACAACACATATCTTCTCAAATTTATCCACCACATCAGCTTCAGGAACAGCCAGAGCATGAACGAAGGCAGGGTTCAAACATTGTCCCATATTACCTTTGTTTCCCGTGTCAAGTGTGCCTACAGCAAACAAAGAAAACTTTAACAGCTGATTTAATCAATCTGGATATATCAAGATGGCATTTTCTAGTACATTAGCTTGGCTAAGAGTATTGGATCCAGGTAGTGGTGGCAAAATGGTTAAACGAAAACAGTTATCCACCCATATTATCTATTAAAAAATGGGTTGGATAATGAACTATTTAAAAACGGGTCAAATATGATAAGAAACATATTATCCACTTAGAAAATGGATAATCAATGGATAACTAATGGGTTTAACTTTTACATTTGTAAAGCCTCAAATTGGGGTTCCAAGTTTGGGGGACTAAAAATTCTCCCAATACCGATCATATTCAAGAAACCATGAATAATATGGATATCCATATTATCCGTCGGTTAACCCGTTTTTTATCTGTATTAAATATGGGTCGGGTCGGATAATTTATCCGTTTTTTTCATTACCCGTTTTCGACATGCCCATATCCGACCCGACATGCCCCACCCATTTGCCACCCTAGATCCAGGTATGAGTCTGTCTGAAACTACATTCAACCGTTGTAGGTTTTGTATGCATTGTGAAGGATCCAAAAGGAAATGCCCGCATCAGTCCTAGATGGGTGAACAGAGGTAAAATGATGAGCGGCGGTTTGATTTTTCTGTAAAAATGGAGACAAGAGAACCAAAACTACATGTAGCAAGCAGGAGGCAGTAATTATTTAGGTCTCGCGTGAACTTGACTGCGCAGTAGGTTTTATTGAGCATTAAAGTAGTTGGAGCGCACAAGAATAGTCATGAATCACTTCTAGCCAATCCTGCCTAGGCGGATAACCTCGAATGTTGAAAAGGCACTCTTACAAAAATTATGACAGACCTAAGTTAAGGGCTCTAGAATAATATTTAACATGGGAGGAAGATAAAAAAAAATTAATCAGTGAAAATGGGAGGAAGATAATCGACTATCTACTTCCAATTCCCATTTCACACCACAAACTGAACTAGCAGTGATGCTTTCCGAGCAATGGAGGATACATTTAGATATAATCCTAAATGTGGTCCATTTCTGTTCTCCATTGATACAAGACATGTTATCTGATTTATTATTAACTCATTGAGCATTTCCTCTACCACATAACCAACACCATGGAAATGGAAAACAGAAACCAAAGTTACACAGTAATACGCACTTGACTCATACTCCCGAAATTTATCTCTCTGAGAATCCCTGTTTACTTATAACATTATTACTTTATCTTATTTTGACCTACAAGGAAAATATTAGTACTGTCTTACACATATTAAACCATTACATTATCCCTTTTCAACTACTATATGAAATACTCAGATATGCAGTTCTGGTGTAGTAAGGCATGCATTCAACTTGAGAGTATAAATTACCATAGTAACTAGTACTAGAAACTGCAAATATACAAAAGAGTGCATAGTTACATCGTAGAAGGCTTAACCTACCAAAGTCCCAAATCGTCTGCGGTCGTCCCTTGGAGAAGTCCCATAGCACAAGTTTTGAATCAAGACCTCCAGTGATGACTTAAAAATGACACAAAAATACAAGATATTGTCGTCATCAGCTTATAAGAAACAATATGGAAGCCCTATTTAATCTCCAAACATCATAGGAAATTGAACAGAAAGCAGCAGGCTGTCACAACTTGCACATTTTATTAAAACCCTATGTACTACAACTTGCACATTTTTCGAAACCTTACATTGTTCCATTCATGTTCATTTATGTACGCCATTCACTTCAACGTGTATGTGGGTCATATGTATTTCTAGAGGGGGATGGTCAATGTCATGGGGGCCGGTGTTGGGTTT